AAAAAAAAAAAAAAAAAAAAAAAAAAAAGCTACTTTTATTGTCAGTTCTATCTAAACATGTCAAGAAAAATACTATTTGTGCTCTAGGTCACTTTATAATCCTAGATACCTACTAGCTTATCTAAAAGCCCCTGAATACTGTATTTTGTCTGTTCATACAGACAAACACTGTTTTGCTCAAGCAAATAAAAAAATATATCCACTAGTAACACCTGAACGGTTTCTTAGATCCATAGCTGAAACCCACAGGAATGTTAAAATAGTTACAATTAAGGAATTAAAATCTCAGTGATTTTGAAAACTGCCAGTTAGCCTGCAACACTAATCCAGAATCCAGCACTGCTTTGTAACAATTCAAAAAAGAAATGAGGTTGCTTGTGAAGGCCAGAGCTTTGGTGACAATCAGAACCAAATTTAAAGATCTGTGGTTTATCCAGACCTGAGCAGTTGCCCGTGCCTGGCGATCCTCTTTATTTGCAAGGCTTTATGGCTACAGCACATTCTTCATTCATTGCACTTATGACGGATATCTGAAAGAAAAGACACACAGGTTAGTTCCAACCCCCACAGAACTGCTCCTAGAAGTTACAGCCAGTCACACTCCATGGTGCAAGATCGTGGCATCTCAAGACTCGTTCTCAGCTTTAAGCTGTTTCTAAGCCCAGATTATCTCACAAAGCTCCACACAAGAGTGGAAGCTCCGGTCTACACTAAGCAGACAGCACCATTAGGATTTATCCTGACATATCTGAGACTCCAATCACTTTGCTGTCAACAGAGCCAGCCTTCACTGCCATACTGGGTGTCCCAACACAGATGGCCTACTTGCCAAAAAACCAATTCCCATGTCTCTAACCCCTTCTTCATAAAATAATACAAATTACACAATGAAGAACATTTATTCTGATGACAGGCAAGGACAATTAAAGCATCTCTCTTCTTGTCTGCTTCACTCTATTCTCACCTGCACATCTTCATTGGCATTGAATTTTCCTTCGATTTCTTTTCCCAGATCACCTTCTGGCAGCTTTAGGTCCTCACGAACTTCACCACTTTCTGTCAGCAGGGAGAGATACCCATCCTGAATCCCTATCAGCTGTGAAAAGAAACTCAGTTTTAGGAAGTTTAACATCAGCATCATTAGCAGGCAGCAAGCAAAGACAAGCGGAAGGCAGTTAGCTGTTACACTAATTCTTTAGTGCTATGCCTGTAACAGTTAAGAACCCAACTTAATTTGCCTTGTGGGGTTGGTGGCACAGTAAGCAGGAGATTTCTATCCAAACAATTCTGACCATTTTAACAGCTGAGTAAATGCTTCTGGTTCAGCAGTGCCACATCTAGACAGGCAAGTCTGCCAAACCCTCAGTTCTCTCAGGGCAACAGCACTTCACTAATTGACAAGCAGTTTAGTGATAACAAATATTTTACTTGTAGTGTTAGGAGTTTTAGTGTGGAAAGATAACATTAACTCACCTGATAATCATTCCTCTTTATATTTGGGACATCCATGTTATGAGTTGATGGGCAAATATCTTCGTATTTTTTCCCATTGAAGATATCAATACCAACCAGGTGGACCTACAAGGAAGAAGAAAGATCAGTACTGTCCATCCTACTACGCCACTGAAATCAGTACTGCTGGGGCTTCCTGCCTTTTAAAAGGCAACACGTGAGACAAGATTCTCCTCAAATCCTTTGCTTGCTGTGAGAGAGCAGCCCAAACCCTAAGAGAAAGCCCATAAGGTGTCTTTTCACATTTCAGATCATCCACTAAATGAAGGCTACAGCCTTCACCTTCCATCACTTTACAAGGTAAAGCTCAATGTGGTTGACTTTTGGCTTGTGACTGTTTAAAGAACATTTATTTCACATTCCAGCTGTTGTGTGAAACAGAACAGGGCCGGTGACAAGAAGGTTAAGGAGAACAGAAGTGGCCACGTGCTGAGATGAAAGCAGCTCCCACCTCCCCTGATGCCTGCAGCAGCCGCCCAGAGCAGCTAGCACATGGATTAGCAGTTTACAGCCTATCCTGCTCAACTCCTTTTACTCTTACAGGAATACTATATAAGTCTGGAAAAATAAAAAAGCCATGAAGTTTAAGGAGAAAAACAGAAAAAAAAAACCAACCCAACAGCAAAGGCTTGGCAGCCTCTAGTTTGGACAAACACTAAGTACTTCACACAGTCACACGAGGCCGTGGAAGCTCAAGAATCAAACGAGCCCACGTCTGTCGATGTGTCTCAGCAGAAGAGTGCAGGGCAGCCCAGCCCGGACAGCTGCAGAGCCAACTGCTGGGCAGCACCACGCCGCGCGCCGGGGAGCGTCGCTGGGGCAGCCGGCGCGGCCCAACCACGCCCTGGGGATTTCATCAGCCCCTTCCAGAACTTACCCTGCCCCGCCGCCGCACATTTTATCACCACCACCGCCGCGTAATCCTTCCAACAATCCGCGGCAGGGAGAGCCCCCGGCCCGGCCCTGCCCCCCGGCCCTCCCAACCCCCGCTCGGGGCGGAGGACACGCGGCGCTGCCGCTCACCTTGGCGTGGCCGTGCTTTCCCGTCTTGGAGGTGGACATCTCCACGATCTTACACGGACGCCCCTTCAACACCACAAAGCCGTTCTTACGCAGCGCCGAGCACTGCATGGGATAGGTGGACGAGGCGCCGGCGTCGCCCGTCGTGAAGTCCAACTCGTCGGCCATGGCGGCGGCTGCGGGGCTGCGGGGAACGCACAGCGTCGGGCCGAGCGCAGAGTTCCCCCGCTTCCCCCTCGGTCCCCCCCCGCCCCGGTGCCGGTGAGCCGCGCTCCGCCCGCCACGTGCCCGCCCTCAGGGCCCTTAGCGCCGCGGCCCAACCGCCCTCGGGGCCGTTAGCGCCAGGCGCGGGACGGACGGGAGTGGGAAAAAGGGGAGAGGAAGCGTTTCGACGGCCCTTCTTACCTGCGGAGCGCGGCGGGGCGGCCGGGAGGGCGGGCGGGGGCACGGCGCCGCGCACACGCGCCCGACCACTGC